CTTGTCTTTTTCCTAGGTCCACCGTTCTATTAGTGGTCCATGAGTATTGTTGATGTCCTGTGGCCCCTATGACCCAAGTTTTTTTTTTAGACAATGTCCCCGATGGTGTAAGCAACACCGAATGCTGGGCTCCTGTGTCAACCAGAAAATCAATTGGTTTCCCCTCTACCTTAAGAGTTACCCTAGGCTCAGGGAGGGGCTCCGAGCCCCATCTCCCCTAGTTGGAGTCCCCCTGTAGGGCAAGCACTTCACCTGGTGGGCTCTGTTGAGCTTGTAACTTTTTTTTTCTTTTTGGGCAATCTTTAGCCCAGTGTCCTCTCTCCTTAGAGTAGGCACATTGATCCTTTTCTAATGGGGTGCGCCCAGGCCTGTGTCCCTTAACTGGGTTATGCCTTGGTTCCCTCTCCTTAACTACAGTGGCCAGGATCTGAACTAAATTCCTTTCCTGTCTCCTTTCCCTCTTGTTTTCCCTCACTTTCCTCTCTTTTTCTTTTCTTTGTTTTTTTTTCTTCTTCTGTTTTCCTTTTGTGATAAACTTTTTCTTCCTCTTTTACTAAGTCTTACAATGAGAGGTCTTACAACCCTTCAGGTCTCTGAAATTTACGCTTAATATCAGATGCTGATTGACCGATAAAAGCCATAGCCACAGAAGCCCTCTGCTCCTCAGAGGCAGGATTTAATGGGGTAAACCGCCGGAAAGCCTCCATGAGACGTTCAAGAAACACTGAAGGGGGCTCAGTGGCTCCCTGCATAATTTCCCTTACCTTTGCCAAATTAGTGGGTCATCTTGCTGCCCCATGGAGGCCAGCCACTAGAGCCTGGTGATAGACTGTCAGTCACTCCCTACCTTCTGTCATATTGAAGTTCCAGCCTGGTCGAGGGAGTGGGAAAGCAGCCTCTATAAGGTTAGGAAGCTGGGTGGGTCGCCCGACAGGTCGGGGGACATTCTTTCTGGCTTCTAGTAAGATTCTCTCCCTCTGGTGGTAAAGAGAGTCTGCAGAAGCTGCTGGCAATCGTCCCAGGTCCGTTGGTGAGAAAACATTAAAGATTCCACCAGGCCAGTCAAGCGCTGGGGGTCCTCGGAAAAAGGGGGTTGATTAGTTTTCCAGTTATAAAGATCAGAGGAGGAAAAAGGTCAATACTGAAGTGTTGTAAGGCAGGGAGCCCCCCCTCAGTAGCTGGTGGGGGTCCGTACGCCCTCAGGGGCAAGGCATCTGTGGTATTAGGGGAAGGCTGAGCCTGCTGGCGATGACTTCTAGTACTTTGCGCCAGTCCTAGGGGAGCATTCTCAGGGGGCGCCGATGGGGCAAGGTTAGGGTCAGGGAGAGCACCTGGACCCTCGGGTTCCTTCCTGGATGGTGGGGGGTATGGGGGAGGAGAAGGAGAGTCTAGAAGGAGGAGATCTTGAGTCTCCAGGTAGATTTGTTTGACAGTCCTCGGAGGGTCTGAGTCAGAGAAATGGGTCACTAGAATTTGGGAGGGGGTGGCTGGAGAACCAGAATGCTGCCTGGAAATCCAGGGCCAAACCCAAGTGGGAGGGTTTTGTATCAGATCTTGCCAGATGATGATGTACAGTTGCTGATCTGGATGGCTTCCAGGTCCTTTCTGAAAAACAGTGTCCTTAACAGCAAGAACAATTTTTAGATTAAATGTGCCCTCCAGTGGCCATCCAACATGGAAGGTGGGCCACTCAGAGGTACAGAACGTCCGCCATAAACCTTTCCTAATCTCTACAGATAGGTCGCGACCTCTTCCCTTCACTTCAGTCCAATGCTTAAGAGTCAGATTTAAAGGAGTCACCATAGTCTGTCCTATCGTCAACAGATAAGTCAAATACACAAACAAGAGTAAGTCAAAGCCACAAACAAGAGTATAAAGCCCAGAACGAGAGAAGCACAAAGTAACTTACCAACTGCGGTTTTCCACAACCTCCAGACAGAATCAGACGGGTGTTGGCCACCATGGCCTCGGGAATGGATCAATACCTGATCGGTGCCCTTATCATAGGAGATGATCAGGTGTCCCTGATCCTCCTTCACCCTTAGAGCATCTCCCAGAGCTGCCACCTGCAGTCCTCCCGGCACGTCTGCCAACTGCAGTTCGGGTATTTCACAATAGCCCAAACGGCTGCCAGACTTGGTACTAACTTACATGAAAATAGGACATGGACAGTAAGAGAACTGGACAGATTAAAGCTTACCTCCAAGGCCGATGTTGTGAGAGTGGGGTGACCATGACATCCCGGATGAGCCCCCAAGATGAAAGACCCCCCAACTTAAATAGCCGGTGACCCTTCAGTCCAAAGAAAGTCACGGCAACCACAATCAATCACAAGAGTCAGTTCTTGCTGTAAAATATAAGAGGCTTTATTACTAGCACGCTACGACTCCACTCCTGGTCACAAGACTCAAGGGAAAGTGGAGCCCCGAACAAAAGAAGCACGAAGATTATATAGACACAGGAAAGGGGGGGGGGGGGGGGGG